TGCATTAAAGCCAAAGACAGCCCAGCAACTAGCATTTTCAGAAGGTACTCTACAATTTCAGCCTAGCTATATTTTTCAAGTGCAGTAGTACTTTAAAGTGCCGAAATTGCTATACGAGTAAAGCCCAGTATTCAGCTGTCAGTGTCTCATTGCGGAGATTTACCTTTATTTATCCCAGAGACAAAACAGGACGAGAGAGGTAATTTCTCTAACATGAGACATGGAACAGGTGTCCCCACTGGAAGATTTCACCTCCTGTTCTGGTAGCAACTCAAAATTGTGGCTTTCGGTATACTTAAGATCATGTCTCACAGCTTGTCAAATATAGGAATTTTTACTTACCCATAAAATCCTATTTTTCAAATACATCACAGGACACAGGGTGGTATTTGGGAACCTATGGGTTATGCAGGTGCCTTCAGGTGATTGGACACCATAAATGCAAAGCTCTAAGGACAGCTCTGTATTACCCCTGCCACTCCCAGTTTTGTAGCTAGCAAAAAAAACAAGAATTGAACCTGTGTCCTGTGATGTACTCCAAGAAAATAATTTTATAGGCAAGACATTTTCCTATTTACTTAATCATACATAACAGGATTCAGATTGATAATTCTGGAATAGGACGTCAAAAAGCAGTCCAACTGAGTGTTTGGTAACAGAACAAACGAATGGTTAACAAGACCAAGAAGAAGAAAAATGGATAAGGACGAAAAGTTCACAGTGCCACCTGAATAACCTCTAGACCTAAGCTGGCATACGGTGAGGCCCGGATATACACCTGGTAAAACAAATGCGTCAACTGAGGACCAGGTTGCAGCCTTTGCAGATCTGAGAAACTAAAGCCTAGTACTGAAAAGCCCAAGAGGCTTTGCCAGTATCCAATCACCTGAAGGCAGCTGCATAACCCATTGGTCCCAGAATTACCATGCTGTGTCCTGTTAGGTACAAGTATTTGTATATTTGGGATTATGAATGTCTAGCTCATTGTATGGCCAGTGAGCAGAGATGGGGGCTGGAACTAAGCAGGGAGGGTTTGTCACACAGCTTCGTCTTTTAGTGCTCTGTACCGGTGACCAGTGCTGATCATCATTACATGCCAGGCTACACTATATGTACACAGGCTGCGCAAAGAAGCACAGACCCTATGTTGGACCATTGTGAGTGCATGCTTGGGGTTATAAAAAATAAAATAAAAAATGAGTACAACTTTCCCCATCAAGCAGGGGTCTGGGAGTTCAGGAAATAAACAATCCTTACTTCATCTCCAGCACCTCTTCCAGGTGTTTGCGGCGTTCAGAACGGAGGCTGGTTAGGTGGATTTCCTTCTCGGCCAGTGACTGCTGAGTGGAGGACAACTTGGCTTTCATGGACTCCAGTTCTTGCTTTACCTTCTCCATCGCCATCATCAGCTCCTCCACCTTACAAAAGACAAGATTCATACTAATTACAGGAGAAAGAGCCATGATTTGTTACTTTAGTGCTGACCATCCATATATTAAGCCTACACTCTAAGCAGTTCCTTATAGAGGACACAGTTCACATCAGTCCCTATCCAACATAATCTTTTATTCTAACGTCTCACATTTGTACATACTCTCCAAGGCCGACTTTAGTCAGAATCAGAACAACCCACCAATCTGCTTATTGATTGTACGAAGAAGACCCAAACAATCCATAAAAACACAGAAATAGGTCCAAATGAATGAAGACAGAGCCCTGAAAACACACGTAGTCTGCTGACCACTTAGCCACCTAAGTGACCAATACACGTCAATCATTAACGAGAAGTTAATTGTTGAGGTTTACATACCCTTTAATTAAAATGAAAACTAGACTTAAAAGTCATGCTTCAGAATAGTTAAAGGTTAAAAAGATGAATGCGAACCTGTTAACAGTTTTGTAATTCTGGTCAGCCACATCGCATAGCTAGAATTATGACATCCCTATTTCCTGGTTCAGTTGTGGGGCTTCCTGTGTCACCTGCCTGCTTGCTGGCCAATGTATCCATATCATCCCATTGGCGAGTCACTGTGTTATAGGCAGACATGAAACACAGGAACGCCCAATCAAAAACATTTTTCTTAGTTGTAGGATTGGGTCCGGTCCTTTTTACTACAATCCGGGCCCCAGATTTCTTTCACTTACAGCCCCAGAGACAACGGTTTCACCAGAGAAGAAGTGAAAGGGTTAATAAACCCATACAATAAGACAAATAGTATGTGGTAATATCACTTTCAGAAATGCTGACTGCTTTCCTCCTCAGGGCCATCTATTCAGAAAAAGAACTGAAATCTCTTGTAAAGTACACTTCCATCTATCGGGTGGCTACATCTCTCTGCAGGGTCTCCCTGGAACCCAGGATAGGGTCTCCCTGGAACCCAGCATAGCCACCCTTACATGCATGCTCCCAACTGGGACTACAGTGGCATGTGAACGTGCTCTGGGCACAGACCCCCTTTGAGTTGAAAAAAGCAGATCTAAAAAGGAATATATTAACTTATAGATGAGCGTTTAATACTGCGTGAAGAAAAATCTTCAACAGCAACGCAGGCAGATATCAAAATACTTATTTTTTGTAAAGTAGGGGAAAGCTAAAACCCTCCCACCCCCCCCCCCAAAAAAAAGTACATAAAAACAACCTGGTCTTACCTAAAAAACAGGATACATGACAAACTTTATTTAAAATGTAATTAAACCCAAAAACATATATAGCCACTTGCTAATCCTTAAATGTGGTGGCTGCGTTACGTTTTCTTTTTTTTTTAGGGTTGTTTTACCTTTATTTTCACTTGGTAACCCACTTTCCTGTATTAGGGTGGCTCCACTCTATAGAGGAGCAATGGAGCCACCCTTGGACAGCAGCAATGTTAACATGTGGAGAGGGTAGTGTTTGACGGCACAAGCAAATTTAGGTGGGATTGGGTAACAAATGTAATCTGCATTCCAGCTAACACCATTTTAAAAGTTACAGCAACAGTTTATCTTTTTCCTTTTGGGATAAAGGTTTCATACCACTGCCATTGTTTCAACCCACAATAACATTATAGGAGGACCTGAATAAAATAGGGGAGTGGGCAACTATATGGCAGATGAGGTTTAATGTTGAAAAATATAAAGAAATGCATTTTGGGGTTAAAAACAGGCAAGCGGAATACACATTAATGGGAACTCCACTAGGGAAGTCAGAAATGGAAAAAGATTTGGGGGTCATAGTAGATTGAATAACAGCACGCAATGCCAGGCGGCTGCAATCAAAGCTAGCAGAGTACTGTCATGTATTAAAAAGGGAATGTACTAGCTGACCTTGCTTTTCTCTTTACAAACTTATTTGCATCCTTCTGCAGCTATTGGCTGCTTATTCCTTATGTTTTGGTGATACAGAAGAGAGGGAATAAAAAAACACAAGTTTCACAGGAGTCATTAAACTTCCTCCTCTACACACCTTTTTAATGCATATTGAGTATGTATTCTTTAGTATCCAATCAGTGGAGACCTGTTTTGTTTTTTATATCTGATCTGACCTTGTTGAAGATTTGTCTTTACAAATGCTGTACTTCTGCTACTTGTGTTAAAAAATAAAGAATTTAAAAAAGGGAATGTACTGTAGAGACAAAGTGATAATTTTGCCACTTTATAGATCCCTGGTTCGGCCTCATCTTGAGTATGCGATTCAGTTTTGGTCATCAGTCCACAGAAAGGATGTCATTGAGCTGTAGAGAGTCCAGAGAAGGGAAACTAAGTTAATTAAGTGGCTGGAGGATCAAAGCTATGAGAGGAGGTTGCTAAATATAAACTTGTTCACGCCGGAAGTGAGGCGATTAAGAGGGGACATGATTTTAATGTACAAAATGTCCACTGTTGATGGCAACATCAGCAATAAACTTTTTAGTGTAAACTCCCTAACAAGGATTAGAGGCCACCAACTAAAACTGGTGGAGAAAAGATTGAACCACAAAGGGCGTAGGAGCTTCTTTTCAGTCAAGAGTGGTTACATTTTTTGGAACTCTCTGCCACAAGCAGTGGTATCTGCAAAGAATATTGATTAATTCAAAAATCAATTAGATACCAGCCCTAAGAGACCGTAACATTCGGAGGTACAGGTACTCTTAAAAAAGTAAGACCACATAGGGACTCCTATACACACACATGCACACACACACTGTTAAAAGGAAGCTGAAGAACTACAGAACTTGTACCTGGATTGCCAGGTAAAAAAGAAAAAAAGCCTACAGAAAACTAATGCAGTTGCCACATCTTAGGACTGGTAAGCTGCAATATATGTTTGCGAGTTCGGAATGCTTTTTTTTGGGGGGAGGGGGTAAAACAGTAAGGTTCTAGGACCCGTTTCACAGGGGTGGTATACTGTTTAGTATTGTACATCTACTGAGTGCTAAAGCTGCAGCTGGACTACAACAGCACACATTAAATTCTGGCAAACAATTCTCCAAACTCAGTGAACGCCGTTTCCCTTATCGTTCAGGCTAAAAAAGGAAACATCCCATGTCTGTAGTCACCTGGAGTCTGATTCATTTTGTAGGGGAAAATAGAAAAACGTGACACATTTTGCACTTGATGCAACTGTTTATTATATGAGCTGTGCGCCTGAATGTCTGAGTAGGGAGGGAAGTTCAGAGATGTACAACGGACAGAATTAGAAAGGAAAAAAAAAAAGACCCGATCAAACTGCTAATAGTTTGAAGGGGGGAAAAAGTCAGGAGGTGTAGCTCGACTCCCTCTACGTGCCGTGTTTCTTGAACTCCAGGGAAGCTGCAAAGTTTATGCATTGCGCCTGACCACCTCAGCAGCTCGTGAGGGGAGAGAAGGCCTTAACAGACGTACCGAGAACAAGAGTGTGATTCACAGGAGCCATAATAACCCCCTGATTATGAGGTAATTATAATTACAGAGGACTTTGGTTTCTACACGCCAAGGTCACCCAGTGAATAAGAGCTCAGTCTATAAAAGTGAACGCATTGTGAGCGACTCGTCCTTTTTCCACGCGGCCCGGCCGCTTCCCGCCAGCGCCCCTCACTTATCCCTGCAGCGAGGTGGGATAATAAGAAGCCGGATGATTTCAGCCCTGGGCCGCCTCCTGGGAAGCCAGGAGAGGATCTGAGAAAGACAGACGGGGACAGAGTGCAGACTGTCTTCCCAAGCCGTGGTCATCTGGGTTCCTTTCTGACCTCACCGCTTTAATTACATGGGATGTCAGAGGCAGGTGGAACGCGGGACCAGCGCGGAGAGCTCGTCGGACTTGACAGGGTGCGGCTGCCTGCAGACGGCCAGAATTCGTGTTTCCACGTACAGCACAGAAACCAAGGAGAAGGCAGACATCAGCGGCTAAATATAACCTTACAGAAGAACATGTTACAAAAGCAGAAAAAAAAAAGGTTTTCAAAATTTTGGATTGTGAAATGTTTCAAAAATGTGGATTGTGATATTTTAAAACTGTATCTAAAGCTGAAGCGTTTTGTCTTGGATAGAGTAGGGAATGCCTACAACCCCTGTCAGGTATTCAAGCTCTCATTGGAGAGATTTTATTTTGCTTTCTGTTTTGTAGAGACAACAGGAAGTAAGAAGAAATCTCTTCACGCTGTGGGAAACCCCTGCTTAAGACTGTTGTCACTAGAATAGGTGTCCCCAATGGAAGAGCACCCATCAATACTGGTTTGGTTACAATTTTATCACTTTTGACTTTCAATCAGTTTCTGACATATCTCAGCGTGCCTGTTCTGAATGTCTCTTGTTTGCCCAAACCAGACTGAATTTGGTGCCTTCACTATTATCAATAATGTGCAAAGAAAGAATCACTTATGATCCCTAAACAAGAATGCCAATACTGAAATCACTTCCACTAATCTACCCTATGCAACGAGTGAGGGGAGATGAAAGATTTTCAGGGAGTTAAAGCAGACCACCTTTCACTAAAAATCACATCAGCGTATAACTCTACATGCTGATATGAAAGCATCTTACATTCATTAGTTAAACAAACATATTTTGCTTTTACTAACAATTACTGTTTTTGCCTAAGAGATGCATTCTAGGAAGGTTACATCAGCAGTGCATTGCTGGGAAATCTCATCTGTAAACTGCAAAACCTAGCTAGATCTCAGGAAAAGGCCTTTTTTCCCCCCTGAGATGATGTGCACAGTCACATGTCCTAGTCACATGTGCCAGACTTCCAGGAAGCAAAGAGAGCTTGAGTAATCTGCCCTTAGTTAAAATGGCCACTGTGAGAAGAATGGGGAGGAAAATAAAAATAAGCTAAACAAAGAATAAAAAGACGGCAATTATCTAGAAGTATCTGTTTGTAGATTGTCATTACTAAACATTTCTAAAGTTGTCTTTGTTGTCATTTAAAAAAAAAAAAAAAGGTGAAGTTCTGCTTAAAGAAACCAGATTGCATATAAAAACT